CACCAACTATCTGAAATGTTGGCAAACAGGGCCATAGTAGTGACAACACTACCTTTTCCTGATCATCATGGCTTTTTCCCTTTGCCCTCTTTTATGGGCACTCAAAACTCAAGTGACCTTTCTTCTTGCAGGACCAACACTCTATGTTTTTCAGGTCCTTCTGCACTCACTTTGTGCTTATTCTTCTTTTGAAACATATTCTTTTGCGCAGCATTAGTCTTTTCAGACTGCTGTTCAAATCTCTTTTCAGCTTCTGCCTAAAGAAAATGGTCAGATCAATCATAGTTAAAGGAGGAGTTTCACGGGAGAGAGTGGTTGTCAAAGACTCAAACGACTTCAGCAGACTTCCCGGTCACTGATCACGATCAGTCAAACGGGCGCGATTGGTTGCTCGTGGTTTCTCACAGCAGTACGGGATTGACTACGACGAGACGTTTAGTCCCGTGGCAAAGATGACTACTGCTCATCTCTCTAGCAACAAGAAAGTCCTGGCGTCTATGGCAGATGGACGTCAAAAATGCGTTTCTCTATGGCGTCTCTCTACACCGTTCCCCTACCTTCAGTCTTCCCTGCATTCACACCACACGAATTCAATTCCACATTCCAACAAGGCTTCAAGTGTTTGATGATGAGAGCACAGAACTCCAAATGCACTCAAGAAGAACTCCAAATGTTCAATAAGCATAAGACAAAAGATGGAGAGGAGGAGAACTCCAAGTTTCTGGTACAGACAAGAAGAAGAAGAAGAAGAACAATGAGAGTGCTAGGTATCACCTAGGCAGTGACTTGGCCAACTAGGAGGGCACCTAGACCCCTCTACCCTAGGTGCTCGCCTGGCTGGCCCAGGGCCCTAGACTGCCTAGGCGTGCTGCCTAAGCGCCAAGGCTCTTGAAATTTAAAACACTACCGGCTGCCATATTCGCCAAGGAGTGCTGTGTTGCGCTCTTTAAGCTTTCTAATGCCCAAACATCCTTTGTTCATGGGCTGGCAAAGTATATCCCATTTAACCAAGTGAAACTTGCATTGTCCTTCCGTCCTTGACCACAGAAATTCCCTCATCATCCTGTGCAATAGGCTAAAAAACCACAAAAACTTGGGGAAAATCCTCAAATATCGCTAAAAATAAAAGAAACGAAAAATGATAGACAACAATAGAAGTATTTAAAAGATGAGAAAAAACTTTCCAAAAAGTAAAAGAAATAGTAAAGTTCTTAAAGATCATCGTTTCATAAAAAAGAAAAAAAGTAGAAAAAAAATAAATAGTATCATTAAAAATCATAAAACCATGAGAAGTATATATATATATATATATATAGAGGGAATGGATCTTGTCAGCCGGTAGGCTGACAGCTATTGTGTCAACCAACAGTCCAAATTGAATATGGGCAATTCTGATGGTCACGACCTTATTTCGTATTTGAATTTTCATTTTTTTTCAGAAATCCAAATTGCTTGAAATTTTAGGCGTACATTCTACTTATCAAGGCTCACCTAATAAAATTATAAAAAATTAATTCGCACAATATAATTTGATCAAAATACCCCTGAAACTTTTCGCGGGTATTTTGGTCAATTTATATTGTGCAAATTATTTTTTTTATATTTTCCTATTTTTGAAGCATAGACGTTCAAAATTCAAGTGATTTGGATTTATATAAAAAATAAATAAAAATTCAAATACGAAATGAAGTCGTGACCATTGGATTGAGCCTAGACTCAATATGGGCCGTTGGCTAACACTGTGCTGCTACAGTGTCAGCCAATGGCCCAGATTCAATCTGGGCTGATCTGACGGTTACAATCTCATTTTGTATTTGAATTTTCATGTTTCTTCTACAAATTCAAATCACTTGAAATTTTAGGTGTTCATTCTTCTCATCAAGGCGCACCTAATAAAAATATAAAAAAATAATTTTCAAAATATAAATTGACCAAAATATCTCCGAAATGTTTCGGGGGTATTTTGGTCAATTTATATTTTACGATTCTTATATTTCTGAAGAATAGATGCTCCAAATTTCAAGTGATTTAAACTTGTAGAAAAAAAATGAAAATTCAAATACGAAAAGAGGTCGTGACCGTCAGATCGGCCCAGATTCAATTTGGCCCATTGGCTGACACTGTAGCTATCAGGCCGTGGGCTGACGGGATCTTTTTCCCTATATATATATATATATATATATATATATTAAAAAAGGAAAAAGTTTATATAGAGTCGAGGCTCTAAACAATCAAATTTGAGCCTACATCAAAAATTTCATCAGAAGAGGTCGTTTTGATGCCCAAATATCTTCAAATCGATCATCTCGACATCAAGATGCATGGACATGAGAAAAAAATGGATTTCAAGTTTTGAAAATAGTATATTTTGTAATGCGTTTTTGGGCCGTCAATCTTTAAAATTTTCTAGTTTTTATAGATTTGTTGATCTACACTATTTTTGAAGCTTTAAATTTATAAATAAATATAAAAATATATTTTAAGGCTATTACAAAGATTTCCAATATTGAAACCACATTTCTTGACACTATTTGAAGGTAGGCTCTAATTTGATTGTTTAGAGCCTAGGCTCTATACAAACCACACCCTTAAACAAAACCTATTAAGTCATTTATAATTCATTTAGTCAAAGATTAAATCTAGATCAGTTACAG